TTTGTGCTTTGAATACTCTTGTCTGGCTATTGGATGTTGAGGATTTTGTTTCTCCTCTGAAATTTTTTGAAATTTCTGTCCACATACTTCTCAAATTCTTCTTCTGGTTTTGGGATTGCTCTCTCCAAAAACCCTAATCTTCCTTCTTCCCTCTTTCTTCCTTGCGGCGGCTTCTTTTTGATATTGTTTTCTTTGTCTTTGTTTTGATTTTCTTTTCAGACTCTGAGACCTCATCTGATTCGGTTGAAATACTACCCTCTGCGCTCGAAGCTGTTTCTCTCTATGTCCTTCGCCCCGGCGACACAGTTCCTACCCGTATTTTCACAGCTCGTGTTTCTTCCCCCAATTCCAGAGATTCCATGGATAATATCCCCCTCCGCCGCCGTCGACCTGCTCTCGGCGCCTTAGATGAGCCAGAGGAGGACGAGGTTCTTTCTCCCCAACCCAACGCTTCTGCTTCTTCCCCTAAAAAAGCTTCGACCAAGAATCCTTCGAAAACTTCCATTAAACGCCCTTCTGTTTCCCATGCTTGGTATTCTTCAGGGAAGATCGGCCTCCCCAGCGGTTGGTCGATCCTCAGCTCCTCCTCTTCTGACAAGTATGACCATCCTCCGAAAAATTGCTACACTTTCTTTGAAATCCAATTTAAGCTGGGCCTGCGTTTTCCTTTGAGCCCCGAAATACTTCGCATTTGCGAGTGGTTCTCCGTTCCTCTACATCAACTTCCTCCTAATGCCATCTGTTTCATAACTACCTTCATCATTCTCTGCCGCGTCCGTCTAGGTCTATTTGACCTAGACTTCTTCCACTACTGTTATAGCCCTTCCAAGCAAGGTCGAGGCCTCTACCTGAAAAGCCGCAACGGTGCCTACTTTATAAATGACATCCCCACCAATCTTCCCAAGTGGAGTGACAAATTCATTTTTGTTCAGCCCGATGTCCCTTTCCCCTGGCCTTCCATTCCTTGGGTCAAGGAAGTCTCGCGAGAGGTAGCCTCGGCCCCTCCTACAAACCCCCTCTTCGACCAACGGATTCACACTTGGAATTCCAAGTCCGTCGCGTCCGATAGACTTCTCCAAGACGAGAACCTTCTCCATTTTTGTGGTCTTCTCACCCACAAAACTCTATCTCCCCCCACCGAGGAGATTCTTGACCTCGTTCGTATTGAAAATGATCCAGGTAATTCTTGATCCATTTGCTCGAGCGTTCGTGTGTTTCCTCGTTTTTGTTCTGAATGATGGTTACTGATCTCGAGTATAATCTTTGTTGTGATTTTCTTGCAGAGGCGCCCAGTTTCAGCATCCCTCTGAGAAAAACTCCCCTGAAAAAGAAGGCAGAGGGTACCTCTGGCTCAGTCGGGGGCCAGGTCGAGGGATCGACCCATTCCTCGGGGTCTCAACGAGAGCCGCGACCGCAGTCGCCTCCACGAGAGACCCCCTTACCCCCGCCCCCACCACCGGGGCCACATCAACTTCAACAACAACAACCAAAACAACAACAACAACTGCATCCACAGCACCAGCAGCAACACCCACAACAGTAGAAACAACCACAACAATCGCAACCCTCCAAGACCTCGCAGTAGCTACCCTCCAAAACCTCGCAACAGCTACCCCCCAAGGACAAATTTGACTCCCAGTCGACCTCCAAGTCGTCGACCACCTCAAAACCCATCGACC